AGTGATTTAGTATAAATGGCAAGCAATTCAATTCTGCCACTGTGGTACAAGCCCTTATTTTTATCTGCCCTTGGAAACACTATTTTACATAGTGTGGTTTTGAAAGTTGGTAAGCTATAGATTTCAAGTTATTGGTCCTACTAATAATGCATGCCTGTGATGTTGTGTTCTCAAATAATGACAGATGTGTGAATACAGAATGGCCACGCCATGTTTAAGTGAACTTCGACAAACGCTTCCGGTTTGATGACATGCATGTGTCGACATCGATAATTCTGTATCGACGTCTGTATGTAAGTAGATCAAATCACACCTTAATTGGCAATTTAAATAAGTGATTTGTACCAGAACACTAAGAAGATAAAACCGACAAATTATCATTCAACCAACCTGAATCATCAGTGACAATATTCTCGACTGACGCCGCCATCTTGGATTTCGCTTACTCTCGCGCGATTCGCGCAAGTATTTGTCACGTGAAGAGGGAATTCCCATAGAAGGTCAAGGGGTTCCCCGACAACTGTTACCTGGACCATCGACCACGTGTGAGTAGAGAGGTGGCGTTTAGTGGCACCCGGTTGCAGGGTACTTGTATATCACTGGAACATGGCCGCGCACAGCTGCAATATCTGCCATGATGGTTTTGTGTCCTTATCTGACGTGGTGCTGCACACACGGGCCAGACACAGAAAAGACGACGCGCCTTTGAGATGTTATCTGAAAGAGTGTGACGAAAAAATCGAAATTTCAGAGCTAACCAAACATATTCGACAAAGACATCCCGAACAATGCAGCATCGTGTGCAGGCTTTGTCTGCAGAAATTCCTATTTCAGTTCGACTACAGAAACCATGCTCGTCGCATCCATGGTCAAAATCTGCGTACACGACAGATAAAGTGTCCCACGTGTAGAGAGAGTGTACCTGACTACACCGCTGATCACCACCGTCTGGTGGAGTGCCCCAATCACGTTGAAAATAAACCTGGATACCAGAGACGAGGTACGTTTATCCCGAACAACGCCTCAAAAATAATTAGAACGCTAAAATATATTAACATGTGCTTGCAGTCATCTTTTGTCTCAGACTTCCGTGTTTATCGGATTGTCTACTGTGAATGGTTTACCGTTAATCACTCACCTAGTCACAAAGTAAACAATTTATCCAACGCATTAGCAGACACATTTGAAACACACGGGTAACATTGTTGCAACTTGATATTATTGACGGGCGAATGTAACAGCAACAATAATGTGCAAACCCAATCAAATCTATACATTTGTCGAAAGCAATTGGCCGAAATTTTCGAAAAACAACTTTTGTGTGTGGAGACTGTTAGTTTTCTGGTCACATGACTATTTAAACTGATGCAATAAATGAGAAACATGAATAAAAAAGCTAATAGCATACTAGTATTCACTTTTATTCTTGCTGTCAAAAAATAATTAATTGTAAAAAAAATACTTGTGAAAAATAAATGAGATTTTCTTTTAATTATTTAATTTCTAAAATGGTAACTTCACAATTTTTAGTGTCACATGTATTTGAAAATACAGGCACACATTCTTACAAAATCCAAATACAACTTGGAACTAATATTCTCGCTAACCAGAAAAAAAATGTTGCATAGACATTGTAGTCCTACTAGCGAGTCACTATATGGATTTTTGCAAACTGATGTTGTTCAGAAATATAAATGGAGAAAACAACACTTCAGTGAATCTGTTCTTTCCCAGCAAAGTTATCCTTGTTTTAACTCTCGGTTATTAAGATTAACAATAAATAATTTGAAATGTTGCCACAAAGAAAGATACAAACTACGAACTCGGGGTAAATATTTCAGTTGAACAGTGTTTTTGTCCAATTTCAGGAGACTTCCTCTCCCAACTTTGAAATACTGATTGTTTATATCTTATCATATGTGTTTGTAATTGACAAACAAAGAGCTAAACCTCCACACCTACATGAGCTATTTTTTATTTACGTTTGACACTAATGAAAAAAAAATGAAGCAGTACTCTGTGTATCATGATAAAATGAAATATTGTGCACTAAATTGTAAAAGAAACATTTTTAACAAAATGTACATGGTAGTATATAGAAAAAATGGCAGTGTTTTAATTTGAAAACACAAAAAATACCCCTAAAACTATCCTGCTACCTTAAACATTCAGAGAATGAATGGCTATAAATGTTTGAACTTGATCGGTCAAAATTGAAATTGAGCATAGTCTGAAAACGAGGACCTGTAATTACACCTCCATGCTGATTTAAATACACACATACATACATCATATCATACATGCATTTATTTATGATTTAATGTGAAATGACTGAATAATGACCATTTTAGTGTTAATAATTAAAAGTGCAAAATTAAGCATTTCTAAAAACATTATTGTCACGGGTTTCACTTCAAATATGAACAAATTAGTAAAAAACATTGTTTGTAGTAAAATTGAAAGTGTGACGTGTGAATATTTGTTGGTTCACAGCCAAGACGTTAGATTTCTGTATATTTTGCTGTTAGGTGGTGACAAAATTATTAGCCTTGTTTAATAAGCAAATTTCTTTTTTGTAGCTAAAGCCAGACCATCAGATTTACTGGGAGAGACTCTTGGTTCTCTCGATGATTTTACAGCAATGCATGTTTTGCCATCAGAAGAGTACAACGAGAAATGCAGAAATATTGTCAATGAGGTCGTAACGTTTCTGAAAAGCAAAGAAGTTCCTTGGAATATTAGCAACATAAAAGAGGTATGTAAAAGAACCTGTTAGCTGATGTGGTTAGATAGCAATGTGTGAATTGAGTTCTTAAATATTTATATTAGAATGAGAGTTAGTGATTTGAATTTACTGACAGCTGAAGGACGACTATGAGGACATGTGTATTAAACAGCCTCTTAGGGGGTTGAGATTTTAGTAAACGTCTGAGATCTGTATAGTGCTTACTGGTATGTATGTTTGTCTCGCAGGGTGGATCATTTGGTAAAGGAACTTCATTGAAAGACCACATTGATGTCAGTTTAGTGGTGCTCATCACCGATTTCCATAACATGGAAGACCACATCAAGAAAATGCAGGAAACATTAGAACAGGCTAAACAATCCTTCATTGAGTCCAATTCATGGAAAGATAGAATATCGGATGTGAAGGTGACGTGCAAGTCTTTGAACTTGTCTATTAGTGTGGATGACAATAGCAACTTAGATGTGACTATATACCCTTCATGTAAGACATTACAGGACAATGCACGGAGAGGTGAGATTATACTTTACTTTTGTTGTGTTCGTGAATTTTAAGTGTTGTATTGCTTTCCCAGTAAGGGTGAAAATACATTATTTTTTCTTTGAGGTAGAAGCCTATTCATGAATTAAAATACCCAGAATTTGATCATTTTGAAAGAAACTGTACTTCAAGGCAATTAAAACCATAACACTCAGAATTTAATTGTCTGTTTATAGTGGTATATGGGAACCCTCTACATATAAGGTGATAGATGGTCTCTACTATCTATTCTAAATTATTTTAATCTCAATACTTAATGCTACACGCTATTTGAATGGCAAATTGCATGGCCAAAGAAAAGGGTATTCAAAATACAATGTGGTAACGCAACTCTGATTCAGACTAGGATATGGTCTCATCTACTGGTATATCACAATGTATTCAAGAAATTGTCTTACATAATTAATACATGTATAATTTACTCTCTGATTTTCATAATAAACTATATTTCTCTTGTAATATTATATTCATTTAAAAATTTTAGATGAAAAAAGAAGACTTTACAGAAAAATGCTCAATGTTAAGGACGATGACAGACTTATGTACAACACTACTCTGACAGGCTTTGAGGTCGCTTTCGTCCATCGCAGACATTCCCCTATCACGAAACTTATTCAGCTTGTCAAGTACTGGTGCCATGAATGCTTTGATGCCGAGAGAATTTCCAAAATGGGGAGAAGTGCTCCATCACAATATCTCTTGGAATTGGTCACGATTCGTTCCTGGGAAGAGGCTGGACAACCAGACGAGTTTCAGCTTGGATTGGGATTCCGTGCAGTGCTGGAAAAACTGGTCGATAACCGTTCGATGTTCATTGTATGGCATGAGCATTACGATAAGGCTACAGCGAGGGAATCAATGAGAAAATTTGCGATGAGAAGGTGAGTGCATTAGGGTCTATATGGGAGTTTGTTGAACTTGAACTTTGAGATTAATATTAAAACTGTATTACACAGTAATCACATTATTAATGTACTTTAGTTCCTGCATCAGTCCAAGAGAAAAAAAAGTGGGTCCAATAACCCTAATTATCCATATTTTAGGCGAAACTTTTATTTTATGCAAATTAGCCATTTTTCATTGTTATACACATCTTTTTTTTCGTCTGTTTGGATGGGGTACAAATCAGACTAATAGTTGTTAGCTCATTACTGGAAACACCAACATTTTTTGTTTTTTTTGTTTATACAAATAGAAATGATCCAAACAATGGTTTTTTATTTCTTTCTAAATTTCTCTTGTTTGTATTGTATAATGGTATAACCCAAGCCAGTTTTTTTTTTAACATTAACCACATTTTTTTTTTTTTGGCAGACCTATAGTACTGAACCCAACCGATCCAACCCATAATGTGGCAGCTGACTGTAATACTTGGCGTGAAGTCGCCAGTATTGCACAAGACACGCTGAAACAAATACCTGTTCAAAAGCTGGGTGTAATACTGTGATATCAGTAGAAACCCCAAAACACCTTTCAGCCAACTGTAGTCTTTTACTTAGGTCTCCGAGACAACTGAATAGAAATCATGTTCTTAAATTCTGTTTATGACAATTTACAGTTTTGTTATTTTAACGTTTCGATGTACAGTGTTCTGAGATGCACTGACTATGTCTATTGAAACGCTGTTTACTTAAATTACGACTTTTGTTTGATATATGCGATTGCCTAAAAACTTATTTGAAAATATTGTTCAGAACGTTGCTTTAAATTTTTGTCAACATATTGCTTGTTACTTGGCTTATAACTGTTTATGTAGCGCTATATACTTTAGAAAATCGCGGTGTTGTATTCAACGCATGATTAATTTGTTTATTCTGACTAGGTGTGGAATGATAATGTTCCTACATTCGGACCTGTATGTCTAGTAGTTCTTTGTTTGAATGGAATGCATAAATCACTATGCAGCTTTGCAGAAAGGAAATACGAAAAGGATGTACATTTCTTGGGATGTAGCATTTCATTTATAAATTTATCAAAATAGGTTCATTTTAGTAAGTTAGTTTGTCTCCTAAAAATACAAATTTGTTTTTTTAAAACTTTAAGATATGTTTTGTTTTTCTGTGTAGCCACTTCGATGTGAATGATCTGTGTAGTATAGATTGTATAGCGATTTGACTTCCTCCCCTGATAATATTTGTGTAAATTATTTCTTAAAACCACCTGTGAGGGCAGTGTAATAAAAGCTACCCCATGTGATGTGAACTTGATTTCTTTTTCATTTAATACTTCATGTGATAAAAATTTTCTAACTTGGATTTAATTGTTCATTGTATTGTGAATTGTCACTCCCCCACAAATTAAAGACAACACACCAACATTATATGGTAATCAAAACTTGAGAATGAAGTATTTCTTTTAGATGCAATTACCTTGAAGCTAAAATTCAACTATTTGGAGAAATATTTTGTTCACTCGGAATTATTCCCATGACAACCAGTGATCCCCACTCAATTTTTGTTAAGTGATAGGGTTTCTTTTTCAACAAAAATGGAAAAGTTGACCAGTTTTATTTGAGATGTACATTAGATTTTATATTATATAATTTTATATTTTAATATACTGTGACCAGAAACACAGAAGTATTTATAACAATGTTGGCATAACCAGTCTGTAGTGATCTGGGCATCATTTGTGTGCTAAGAGACAAAGTTGTCTCACTTCCTTGAAATAGTTTTATAAAATATATTTTAACCTAAAAGGAAGACTTACAAGTCTATTTTATTTATACTTATTTTTACTGCTCCAATTTAATTTAATTTACTTTACATTAAAGACCCTAGTGGGTTTGTTGTCAAATGATACATTTCGATCTTTGGATGGGGATTGCTCGGGATCACTGTGGAGACTGACCATGTGAATCACTGGTTTGTGTCCTAATAAGTTAAAATGCAGTGTATTCTGTAGATGAATCAGTCTAGTATTCAAACATGTGCACAAACAAGCACAGGGTGGCTGATGTTTGTCTTGGGTAATCGTATTTAAAAATTGGGTAATAATTTAGATCCTTGATCCAAATAATGAGAAAATGAATAATGTACATTCTCTAGAACATTTCTTCATTTATTGAGGCTAGCATTAAGTTTCAGAAAGTAATTTGTGGGAGAATAAAAAAGAATTTACTTGCCTCCATGAAATAATTGATTTCATGTTTTTGTCCCTCTGCGTCTTCTATTCACAAACACACCAATTGTCAAAATTCTAGACTACCGTTACTGTTCATTTTGAAATTGATTTATTCATGGATAAAGATGATAGTTTTAGTAATCTGATGATCATGATTATTAATACAGATGTCCTTTTATCTGTTAAGTGAATGTGTTCCAACAAACCAATTTTTTTTTTTTGGGGGTCTTTTCTATAATTGGCTAGCAGCCTTTCTTAGTTTTCCAAAATTTTCCAAGGACATTATCTGATAAGATTGTGTGTAGAAAAATACAATTTCATAATTATGATATGGAAACTTGCATTTGTGTTATATTCGAAATAAAGCTGGCTGAAAGGATGCATTTGGTTTTATGTGTGTGTGTGTAGATGCGCGTGCACGTACGGGGGTGCAAATATCAATCACAGATGGCACATTGCATTGTTCCTTGGAAGCAAGACAAATTATTCTTAATTCTCATACTTATACTATTAGACATTTATTTCATTAAAACTTTGTCATACTATTTTAGACCCGATTATATGGTATAGGTGTTATCTGAATTTTAGATATAGTCACATTCCTTTTCAATCATAGGTGTATTCCCCCCCCCCCCCCAACAAATTCCAACGTTACCGACAGGAGGTGCTTCATTCATTCGACTTTTTATATAAAAAAAAAAATATGCTGATGGCGGTCACATTTCGAGCATTTTGTGGAGTCCATTTAGACATTGCTCTGTGCATTCATAAGCAGACTGAAAGCGTGTAAAATGTAGCTGGTTATAGTTTACACAACTCGCATGGAAGCCATATTGAATGCGTCACAACCAACCAAAGTCATGACTTTGTTACTGTTTAAAATAATTACTCATTCTGTAATGTGAAAAGTTGAAAATTACAAAAATATTCATCAAAATTAGAGAATTGAATATATTGTCACAAAATCAACAAATCTGATACATCTACATATACAATATCAAAGCAACTGGACAATGAGTTTTCAAGAAGTCAAAAATATAATTTTTTACCACAAATGACAAAAATATTCATCAAAATTAGAGAAATGAAGATATCATCGCAAAATCAACAAATCTGAGAGAGGTCCCCCCAGGTACCTACATACCAAGTATCAAAGCATTTGGGCTAGCGGTTTTCAAGAAGAAGTCGAAAATAGCATTTTTGACCAAAAATGACAAAAATATTCGCTACAACTAAGACAATTGAATATATCCACACAAAATGAACAAATCTGAGAGAGAACCACCCAAGGTACCTTCCTAGAAAGTTTCACAACTATACAGTTTGTGGTTTTTAAGAAGTCGAAAATGTAAAGTTCACGACGACAACGACAACGGCCGCTGATGGACAATCAGTAATACTATAAGCTCCGCTCGACTTCGCCGACAGCGGAGCTAAAAAACTATATACTAATAATATCGACTCTAACACAACTTATCCATGAGAACAGGTAGCATTATATGTCTCCAAAATAGACAGATGACGTAGAAATATAGTTTACAATCCAATGTATTGAACATGTTCAAAAGGTAATGCATCTTGTATTAAGTTAAGTACGTGATTGCTTTACCCATTGAATTGAACAGCTGGTGAGCTTATTTTCCTTTCATTCCTTCCCTGCCAACTCCTGTAATTTTACATTGATTGTAATGAGATATGGGTTAATAAATAAATAATTATTCAATGTATTGCAATTAAATATAGTAACCTAGCATGAAAAAGAACAAAATAGGCAATAAACCTCTTGTAAACTCTTGTAAATTTTGTATACAGTTTCTGGGCTGAGATTAAATTTTCATGGCACACCATGGCAATAACTGACAATACAACCTTTGTTTACGAAATCGTATAATCAAATGAACATTACTTGAACTGTGCCAACTGAAACCATAAGTTCTCACCTGGAAAGTGTACAGAGTCCATACTAGGAAAGGGCAAAACGTCTTGGTGATTTTGCACCAATGATAGGCTGAAACGTGACAGACAAATTACACTTGCCAAAATTGTTACGCCTTCATTTCCCGGGGTGCTGGTAGGTATTTTTAATGATCATTAGATAAACAATGAGCAATTTGGAATATGTCAAATTTCTGTAAAGTTGCATGTTGTTAACTTTAGGTAAAAGGTCTGAAATGCCAGAGGCACAGTCCGTATTGTTGTGTTTAAAGTTATTAAACTTACGTGTAAGATCTCTTAATGACTTGCAGAGAGTCTGTACAATTTTGTGTCAAGTTTGCAAAGTTATGTGAAACGTCTGTAAAGTTGTGTGTAATGTTTATACATTTACATTGAAAGTCTGTAATGCCCTACGAATAACCAGTAAGATTGAGTGCAAAGTTGATCAATTTACGTGTAAAGTCTGTCATGCTTTGTGGAACAGATGAAAGGTTCGATGCAAAGCTGGATATGTACACTGCTTGTAATGCCCCATGGAAAGAATGCAAAGTTGCATGTCAA